CATAGAAGTAGAGAGTAAACTGTGGTTACTAGATGCTGAGAAGGGGAGGGGAAGGAGAAATACGGACAGGTAGTTAAAGAATACAAAATTCTAGTGTCCTATAGTGGTGCTACCTGACTATAACTAACAATAACTTATTATATATTTTCAAATGGCTATCAGAGAGTTGTTAAAATGTTTTTTTTTTTTTTTGACAGCTGGCCAGTATGAGGATCCGACCCCTTGACCTTGGTGTTATCAACACTGCCCTTTAACCAACTAAGCTAAAAGGCCAGCCCTCAAATGTTCTCAACACAAGGAAATGAAAAATGTTTGAGGTGATGGATATGCTAATTATGCTGATTGGATCATTACGCATTGTATACATACATCAAAATATTACTCTGTACCGCATAAATATGTACAATTATTATGTGTCAATTAAAAAATTAAAAAAGTTTTTTTCTCTGTTTTTCAAATTTTATAATGTGGTTATATGTTGTGCAAATAGAAATTAAATTTACTTTCAAGCTCCTTCAAAGCATTTATTGAAAACTTGCTTAGTCTTGTAAGTGGGGAGCTCAGGTGGGGGTAGAGGGCTGGGTCGTACCACAACCCCCAACTAAGAATATGTAAGATACACATGCTTTCTTGGCTGACAGGTGTTCTAAATCTATTCTCTCAGAAGTCATCTTATTTCTTTTCTTGTCAATACTGCTCTTGAGGTTCATTTCAGGCTGCTTTAAATATACTGTCAGGTTTACTAAGGGCCTTTTGGTTTGCAAAATGAGCAAATTGCAAATAAGATGAAAAAACTTATAGACAGAGAGAAAATACTTTAATTTTTACTTTTTTTGGGGCAGCTGGCAGTGTGGGGATCCAAACCCTTGACCTTGGTGTTTATAAGGCTGCGCTATAACCAACTGAGAACTAGCCAGCCCTTTCTAATTTTTAAATGCAATTGGTAAAGGGAGGTGTTGTGAGTTGAATTGTGTACTCCAAAAAGATACACTGAAGTCCCAACCCCCCAACCTGTGAATGTGACCTTATTTGGAAATAGGATCTTTGCAGATATAATCAAGTTAAAATGAGGTCATGCTGATTTGGGGGTTTGGATCTTAACCCAATAACTGATGTTTTTATAAGAAGAGTGAAGTTTGAACAGGAACAAGGGGGAGATGGTCATGTGAAGACAGAGGCAAAGACTGTAGTGACACATATACAAGTTAAGGAATACCCAGGATTGCAGGCAACCAACCTGAAGCTAGGAGAGACAAGGAAGGATCCTCCCCTAGAGGCTTCAGAAAGAGCATGGCCCTGTCAACACCTTGATTTCAGCCTCCTCACCTCCAGAACTGTGGGAGAACACATTTTTATTGTTTTAAAACACCTGGTTTGTGGTACTTTGTTATGGCAGTCCTAGGAAACTAGTCTAGGGTAAAATGTCAAATACATTTATGCTGGAAAAAAGTACGAAGGTGATCTTACCCTACTCAGGAAAATGGGAATTTTAAGGCAGTTGAAACAGTGACTGTCTTTGCTGACACTACCATCTTATATGAGAATTACCAAAATATCTTCACTGTCCCGGGTCACACTGTCACACTGTCACACTGCAGCCAGAGTGAGCTTTCTAGAATCTGATCATATTACCCCCCTGCTTGAAACCTTCATTAGTTCCCTCACTGCCCCCACAAAAATATCCTGACTCCTCTGGTGGCTTCTCACCCCACTCATTGCCACTCCCTGCCTCACACTGCTATTCCCTATGCGCCTGGAACATCTTTTTCCCTTTGGCCTCGTTGCCTGGCCAACTCCTATTCGAACCTTAGGTCTCTATGTAGATGCCCTTTCCTGTTTAGTTGCCCTCCCAGGTGACCCCGTAGCATGCCATAATTTCCCTGGCACCACACTGGCACTGAGTCACCCTCCATCCCAGCTACTCAAAGTTGCCCACAGACCAGAAGCAGCATTATCACTAGTTTGTTAAAGATGCAGAATCTCAGGTCCAACCAAAGTTCCAGAATCAGATGTGCATTTTAACAAGGCACTCAAATGATTCTTATTCACATGAAATTTGGGAGGTACTAGTCTGTCCACCTTAGGTTCCATAGGGGCAGGGAGCACTGTCTTCCCAGAGCTTAGCAGAATGTCTGTCTTAAAATAGAGATTTAATTGATGAATGCATCCAGGTATTTCTGGTCAACAAACATGCTATGAAGGAAAAAAAGTTCCTTTTTGTTGGAATAAATAGAATCAGATCTATAGTTTCTACATTTCTTCACAGGCTTCCTCTAAATCCCCCTTCATTCATCGCTCATATTCTCTTGTTTAGTTGTCAAGCTCTATTTTCTGCATGAAATACATGACTGTCACTAATCATGTTTGCTGTTGTGTGTATGTTTTATAATTTTTTAACACTCTAAGCAACAACATAGACATGGCTGGATTTGCAATGTCATTTTTGAACTTGGTGCATGAAAAAAGATTATCTGGTAATAATTTTTAAAATTGTCATTGTCAAGGGGCTGGCTGTTTAGCTCAGTTGGTTAGAGTGCAGCTTTATAACATCAAAGTCACGTGTTGGGATCCCTGTACCAGCCAGCCGCCAAAAAAAAAAAAGAAAAAAAAATGTCATTTTCAGCAGTTGTATTTCTTAAAAGAAAGAGCAGGGGATTCTAAAATTTCATGATAAATCTTTATTCATTATTTCAAAAGCTCCAAAGGCCAAAATATCCCCCATGTTTATATTTCTTGCAAGCCCAACATTAAATGATACATCCCTTTTCTAGAGAGTTACACAGTCAAGAGAGGCTTTTCACACTCTGCTTCTAATTCTCTTAATAGAATGTTGGATATAAAAGAGTTTATGGACCATTTCAAATCCAAAGTCATAAAAAGTCCTCCATAATCCAGCTGATTTTTACCCATTTCTGAAAGCCACATCCCCCCACTTCTCTTCTCCCTTTTCCTCCCACCAAGTTGAATTTGCAATTCCCTAAAAGGCACAGCTTGCCCTACTGTTTGTATCCAGTATGGGTCAACAACCTTTTATAATGATAATGTTAGAGGACAAGATTGACACACCCTTTGTTGGTAAATGTGTATGTAATTCGCTTTTCTTTTGTTGAGTATATTCATTGCATTTCAGGGTCCACAACAGGAGCAGAAGTTTACTAATTTATGCAATCAGGAAGTTAACGGTGCTCCTTGTGTATTAAGTCAAATCTCCACTGGGCATCCTGCGTCATGTGGTGATAACTCCTGAATTCGGTCCACTCTTACTCCTACGTATTTACCACACTCAAAAACACCCAACATCAGCCTCAAAACTAAGTTGCTTAAACTCAAGGCTAGTTTTGTTCCGTGCTTATAGCACTGTCTTTACCTTTTGCAGGGCCAAGCCATAAATAAATATTTGCTGGTTTGTGTTGATTGAATGGTTCAAAACAAATAAACAAGCTCAAATGCCTACTGGGCCAGATAATGCAAATGAGAAAAGCAAACAGCAGGCACTGCCGGTGAACAAGAGTGCCCAAGGTCCCTCTAACGGGGGTGGGTCCACTACATTTCTAGCCTACTCTGCACTTTTGGAAAACGATCCCAGGTTGTCAGGGTTTCTGATTTTCCAAGAGATGTCGTAAGTCCAGGATTTTGATGCAATCTTTCAAATTTTATTTTTTCAAGTTAATTGATTAATTTTGGGGTCGGCTGACTGAACAGGGATTCTCAATTTTTAGATGCTGGTAATCAATTCGAGTTTTCACAAGACATTTTACAGACCAATACTCTGAACCAAACCAAGCACGTTTAGGGAGCCCTCGCAGCTGTAAACCAATTTGCAACCTGAGCATTACGTAGCACAGATAATACAGAAACCCATATTTTCTAAGAAACAGCGATTGCCGGGAAGGCCAGTGGGTAAGAACTCGTGCTGCCTGCGCACCTGCCTGGGTTCAGGCGCTGCTCTCTGCCTATGGGAATTTGAGCAGTTTACTTAACCTCTATAAACCTGTTCCTGCACCTGTAAAGTGGCCACGACGGTAAGAATGCCAGCTTCTGAGGGTGGTTTTGTGGACGGGATAAGAAAATGCGTGCCTTTAGAGTGAAGTGGGCCTCAATACCTGTTAACTATTCCTCTTCTGAATAACCGAACGTTGTGCAGATAATTTCACGTTCCCAGATATATCATTCCTCCCTCCACGAAAGATCTGAACGTTTTCTATATGATGACCCACTCTTTTGGGGGTTAATAAGCACCCAAAACGAGCAATATCGACCTATCCAGAGGCAATATGATCTGCGTCTTAAAATCACCGTCCTAACCCAGGGCCGAACTACCCACACTCTTCCGAGTTCGAAGTTTTCTTTTCCGAACTCTCCCGGGGCTTGTTTACGGAAGTCCCCAATTGCTAATTTATGATAAGGACCCGGCGCCCCTCCCTCCCCGCCGCCAGCGCTCCCCCTGGGAAAACCTGCCTCCGCCACTCCCAACCTCCGCCGCCACCGCGGCCGACCCGACCTCCGGAGCTTGCAGCTTCTCCAGAAGACCCCTTCTCCTCCAACCCCCGTTTGATAAGGAACTCATTTCGGGGCTCAGCAGGGTCTGGCCCGCCGAGCGCCCTGCGCCCCCCGCCGCGGGTCCGAGCAGGTGGCGCTCGGCGGAGGTTTCCCGCACCAGCGGGCTCCAGCGCTCGCTCTCCGCCGGGCGGGGACAGGGGCGGGCCCGGCGTCAGGTTTCCCTACGTCACCGAGGAAGTCCCTGTAAGAGCAGAGCGCGGGCCCGGGTGCCGGGACCTTAAAGGTTCCCGCGTGCGTGTGGAGTCTACTCGGCAGCTCCGCGTGTCCCGTCCTCACCCCATCGCGGCGTGCCTACAGCACTTATCGCGGCTTGCCTACAGCACCCACCGCGGCGTGCCTACAGCACCCACCGCAGCGTGCCTACAGCACCCATCGCGGCGTGCCTACAGCCACCCATCGCGGCGCACCGTCACCATCCCATCGCGGCGGTGCTTGCGGCGATGCCCGGGAGGAAGGCGCGTAAGATCGCTCCACCGAGCCCACCGCGGGCTCCGGCAGGTACGGACCCCCCAGGCCGGGATCGAGGTCTCGGGCGGGGCGGGGTCAGCCCGTCCGGGCTCGGGCCCAGACTGCACAAAACCTTGAGGTCGGGCCAGGTCTGCTCCTCCTGCAAGTTCTTCAGGGGGTTTTCCCAGGACTGCCGAGGTGGCGAGGGAGGGAGCCCGGCCTGGAAATAGGATGCGCTTGCATCGTAGCCGTGGCAGAAAGTTTCTTCCCTTCTGCCCTTCCCACCTCCCCGCTCGCCCTTTCCCGGGGCCACGGGACGAAAAGTGCAAGTGCAGGCGGCTGCCCGGAGGAGACAGTCACAGCAGGTGCGGGCAGGAGAGGGCTCCGAGAGCCTCGTGGCCTCCCAGCACTTCCTGAGACAGGTCCTCTTCCTCCGAAGTCGACCTTTGAGGGCCCCTGATGGGTAACCACTGCCCTCACCCCCGACGGGGACAAAAGCAGGAATTCACCCTGCTACTATCACAGCTCTCCCTCACAGGACTGGTGAGGGTTTATGGAGGCCCCGCAAGGACCCTTGTGTTTAGGAGCCTAGGAAGTTTTCCCTCTTTGCTAAGAGTATAACATTTTAACAATCAATGGGGGTGGGGGGAAGGATAGGAGAATAGGAGTTGGTCCCCTACCTTTTTTTGTCCATCTATTCCCAACCCCCACCCCCATCTTACCACACACACGCAACACCATCCTAATTCTTCAGCTCATTTTTACCCCACCCCACCCCTTTTTAAAAAATCTTACCAAAGAAGGCAGTTAAATATTGTAGCAAGGAAGGCAGCAAGGAATCCATGTAGGTCATACTGCTATTGCATCAGACGGTAATAGGCCCTTTTCAAATTTAGTTTCATTTTATAGAGCTCGTGGGGCGTGCAAAAGATGTGGTGCATTGCAAATGTGACTTTGGCTTAGGTTGGCACCAGGCTGCTTTCTTTGCCTCTTGCGTGGCTCTTGCTGTGCCCTCCTTTTGTGATGTCCGAGAGTTCTGACTATGTTCCTGAAGGATCTAACCTGAGCATACATAGCTCACTTCAGTCCGACTAACTTAGTTCCCAAAAACAAGGGACAGCAGAAAGTCCCCCTTAAACTTGATTAGACATTAGATATGAATACATTTATAGATGTGCAACTGCAAAAAAAAAAAAAAAAATTGAAGAAACAATTGGGATCTATTCCTGCAAATTTTTTTTTCGAAAGGAATAGTTTTTCCTCTTAGAATTCAGAGTTTTCAAAATCGTATGCAGAATGATATTGTGCTTTTTAAAGAACTGTATGCTAATATTTTTCCACTCACTGAAAAGAACATGTTTCTGTAAATACTTCTTAAAATGTTAGACTCTGTAATCCCTAAAGAATAGCATCTTATGAGCGCTATTAGATCTCTTGGTGTAGGGATTAGGGAAGATTTCACTCAGCTTTTGTAGAGAAAGAAATTGGTTGAAATGTAGATTTTAAAAACTGCTTTACTATATATTTGCAGTTGACATATTTTGAGCCTAACTATACAGTCTATTTATAAAACACATCAAATTTTAATTTGTAGTAATGATGATTTTTACTGTTCACAATCATGATTTTAAAGTGGGCCCCAAAACCCCGAGTTGCTATTTAAAATGTTCAAGAAAGTTGAAATTGTGTTCAATATAGATTTAGTGTTAATTTCATTTTCTGAAAAAGTTTAGTTGGAAAATTTCTGAAAATAATACTAGTTTAATTAACTATAATAATCAGATAATTGAGTATCTCAATTCTAAGTAATAAGCACGTGAATTAAATATTACTTATTTTTTGCTTCATTCATGTTCATAAAAGCAGTGGATTGGTACAGATTGGGTTCATGGGAAGAAGTTGGCTTACATTAAAATGTAAATTTAAAAATCATTTTAGAGAGTGTGGGCTTAATTTTGGAATAAGAATTTGAGTCTTTTATGAGAAAATATCAGTTTTTTAATGAGGAAAAGATTACATCAGATTTGCCATCTAATCAGGGCATAATCTAAGCCATGAATTATTGCTATTGAAAAGCAAATCCTACTTGAAAACGACACAAGTGTTTAGAATTTGAATTCTGTTCCCCAACCAACCTTAAATGAGGAAGGGATGACATCACCTGAGGCCAGTAAAGGTGACTAACGTTATTCTTTGTAGTATTTGACACATGAAATTTCCTTATTTGTAAGTAAAATAACACTTGCCTTATTCAGAATGCTTTTAAAAAAAATTTCAAAGTAAATGTCTTTATTCTTAACTAGTTTTTTGCTAGTGAGTCACAATGTGTGTGTATGTCAGTGTCTGCATGGTGCGTTTTAAGTAGTCTCTCTCACGTTCAGAAAACAGGTGCCCAAAAAGCTAAAGTTATGAGAAACACTTCCTGGGGTACTCAACTTTGGGTGTATTAATTCTCGCTGTTACAATTTGGAATACTCTTAATCTAATTTGTATGTTTTGCTTTTCTTTTCAGAGCCTGAAGTTGAGTGTGCCAATCAACTCCGGAGAATTGGAGACAAACTGAGTTTCCGGCAGAAACTGCTGAATCTGATATCTAAACTCTTGCCTTCAGGAACATGACTTCTTCAAAAGCTTTTGCATGAGGAGACTCTTAAAAAAAAAGTTTCTTCAGTAGATGGAAATTTTGTCAGTTAGAGGAGAGACTGCATTGTAATTGAGAGGAATGTGACGGAGCGGTCATTTGCTTTTGGATACCCTTGGAAAGGGAAGATGAAATACATCAAAAATGAATTTCTGTTGGACGTTTCCCAGAAGTCATTCTTTGGGATGTGAGGACATCTTATTAAACCTTGTTTATTTTATTACTTTGTTTATTTTAAAGCAAGAATGGAAGAGCCTTGAAAATAGGACAGTGATTATTAATACATTTCTTTTTTGCTTAAGAGAATTATTCTAGTAGTTTTGCTGAAGATTGCTCTCCAACTTAGTGTAAGAGAACTTATTAAATGATTAGACTGGGCAGCGAGAAGATACAGTTCAGTGTTTTTGCTTTTCAATGACAACTCCAGAACAATGTATAGTACTGGGTTTACATGTATTATCTTGCTTAAAATGAAAAATTTCATTCTGAGAACACTGAATGTCATGCTGAAAGTAGATTTTATAGGTCACTACAAAGTGCAAAATAATTTGATAATTTGTTTCTTTTGCTTCTGAATGTTCATATGACCTTGAGCATTAATTGGAAAGTATGGAATACTGGAAAGTAACTGAAAAAATTGGATGGAAGTATACGTGGGTTACTTGATGCCAGTAAAAACTCTTGCAGATTGCATATTAAATGATAAAGAGCATGGGGATTTTGAATAAACAGGGCTAATAAAAAAAAAAGGAACTTGACTTTTTAATTGATATAACTAAGACTTAGTAAAACAGATAATCAGAAGTAACTTGGTAAGAGAATGAGTGTTTCTAAAAATTTATAAAATGCGTTCTCACATTAGTGAGTGTGCATCCTATAAAAGTGATCTTTTAAGAGAAACTAAGAATGTTTTTATAATTGGGATATACTTTTCTTAAAAAAGAACAAATATTTCTCATCCCAAATGAAAATCCCATATATACATACATGAAAATATATGTATACACACACATATATCTAGATAATGTGCATTAGAATAATATGTAAGTTCTTAGAAGGGTTTTGTAAGTTTCATTTTTTATCTATCTGGGGTATATATAAACAAAGTCCCCAAATACCTATAAAAGAAATAATAATGTCATGATTGAATTTCAACAGGAATAATCTTATTTATTTTACCTATTTATAAATAAAATATTTTTGTTTAGTTTGAAAATGTGTTTTTAAGTTAAATTTGTATTTTTGAGTTATGAGACAGGGTTTCATAACTACTTGAATTTTTACAGTAAGAATGTCTTATATAGGCTGTAGTCACTTTAGATAAATTACCTCACATATGCTTTTATTCAGTATTACTTAAGGTTGTTTATTTAGTTGCAAAGATTTTTTTTTTTTTTTTTTTTTTTTTGTGACTAGAGGCAGATATTTTGCCACGTCGGTATTTATGTCTGTAACTATTTAAATGTATATACACAAAAGTTGATACTGTGACAGTAAACTATTAAAAATGATCACCGTTCTTTGTGTGTTTATTTTTTCATCATGTAAGTTAAGTGTTAATTATCAAGCCAACATATTTTAACTGATTTCCATAAGCAGGCATCTTTTGACCATCACCATCTTCTCTGTTCTAGTTCTGTGGTAGGAATAGAAAACACAGGGGCATTTGGTATGGTTTCTGCTGTCAAGGGGCTTACATAGGGGCTTACTTTTTAATTGGAGTGGGGGGGAATAGTGAAATAGGAAATAATTGCCAGGAATAGGTCTTGAGTTGCTGGGTGTCTCACATGAATACCCTGAGTGATTTATTTAAAATAGCTATAGGGATTCATGATCTAATTAGACATATTATGAGCCTTGTCTTTGACTGCTCCTGGGTCTGCTAGACAAGAGGAGCTGCTCTGCAGTTTTTTTAGGTGACCTCATGCTTCTCCCTTCCTCTGCCGCAGCTCTAGAGCAGCAAAGATTACTTCATCTGAAGCTAGTCATGTGCAGAAGCAGGCGTAACTCAATGGCCTTCCTGTTTGACTGTGAGAACTAAAAGATAACCCTAGATTGTCGCTTGGATCTAGGAGTCACATCTTCCCCCCACCTCTGCCCTCAAAAAGAGTCTGCTGACATCATGGAATGTAAATTGCCTTGCTGAAGTGGGGTGGTGTGGATAGCAAGGAGTTATTGGAGGAAAAGAAAAGCCTAAGAGCTGTAGGATGCAAGGCTCAGAAGATACATAACAATGCAGAGAGGAAGAGCTTTGTATTGCAGGAGTTGGAGGGGAAGATTGGCTTCAGAAAGGGCGGAGTCAGTCTGTGTGATTTGACTTGAGGGTTGTTGGAAAGGCGACTCCTGTCTCTAAGCCTTTGCATAGCCAGAATTGTTTTGCTAAAAGTACTCTTTTTGCTCTTTTATGTAAGGAGTAGAACATGAAGGCTTAGGCGCAGGTTCATAGTCTTCATATATAAAAACTACATATTTTTTTGAGAAGCATATTTTAATGTTAAATTCCCAAGGGGCTGGCCGGTTAGCTTAGAGCACAGTGTTATAACACCAAGGTCAAGGATTCAGATCCCTGTACCGGCCAGCTGCAAAAAAAAAAAAAAAAAAAAAAAAA